ATTTGTCAAAAATTGATGAGTAAGTTTTAATATTTTTTTTTCTTTGTAAATATTTTACGACAACCAAACACCAAAAAAAATAAAAAAATATTTTACATCTAAGAAATTGTTCACACCTAATATATTATATTGAGTGCTTTTCCATTTAATATAATATATATTATATTACTATATAATTTATATATTTGATATAATATATAGATTGATTGCTTTTCCATTCACATATTTTCTCAGGTACAACCCAAACATACAAGTTGAATTAGTTTAATAGGTTCCTGGAATTTGCTTTTGTTTTTCCCTTTGTTTGACTACTGAGAAACAATAAGAAAATAATTTAAGTGCACCAATCCAAGAGCTAGTATGGTAGTCCAAGTGGTACTTGTAATATTCAAACTTCTCTTTTTCATTTTCTTCGTTGCAATTTCCTCAAATCATAACTTCATGATTAAGACAGGAAGAAAAAAAAAATAAATAAATTGTTCATGTGACAATTGGGCTCCTTCAATTTTGAGGGAGACATGAGGGCCCAAGGATTAGTCAAAAATGGGGTTAGATGAAATGAAGCCCAAGCCCAAATATAACTTATGCTGAAGCTGCCCAAGCCCAATGTAATCCACCAGCCCCTACCTACTATGTTAAGCAAGTAATGTGGTAAACCCGACCAAATCCATATACTCTCTAAAATGGTGCACATTCGAATTTAGTTGGTGTTTTAATATGGATAAAGTGAAAAAAATTAATAATAAAAAATTATGTTATATACAGAATGTGCAAATATTCCTTGATGTTAAAAAAATTTCATACATTTTTCAAATTGAGTAAATAAAAATAATTTGTTAATACGAAGATTAGAATATCTAAAATGTCCTTAAGACAAAATTTAAAAAAAAACACATGAATTTTAGTTTTTAAGGGTATATTAAGGGTATTTTGGGATTTTAGAAATATAAATTGGTCAAAATTGAAGGTAAACAAATATTAGGAGACAATTTGCACATATATTCAAATGTTTTGGTTTTATATGGACATATAAAATAGCAGAGGTGTATTTTGCACATTTGTTATATTGCAAGATTTTTTTTTTAATTTTTTTGGCAATTAACTTTAGTTTAGATGATATAAGTTTAACATCTCATTTTCTTTGGGAGGTTGAGTGTTCAGGCGCACATGTGGAAAAAAATATAGCGTGTAAGTATATTTTATTCTTCCGTGCTCACAAATACTTTCTCCAAATCTTCTTTACTGCTCGGGAGTACTTAGGTAAATTTCTCTTACTTTCCTTAAAATTTGTTCATATTTCACATAGATTCCTCATGTTTTATAATCCCACTTACTTCTCTTGTCAGTGATGACCGTCTAACTTGATAATAGTAGTATATTATTTTACGATTCATTTATAAAATATTTGTTATCATTTTAAACATTAAAAAGACAAAATTAATCTTTTATCAATTTTCTACTACCGACGTCAACAAATTTTATCTATCCGTCAAAGTAAAATTACGAAACATAGAATGAGTCTATACGAAATATTAACAAACCTCCTGAGTCTATATGGGGGATACCAAAAAATAGACCGGACGCTGCAGTGCTGTCCACGTAATGGGTTCATAAAGGGCTGTCCAGCGGTCTCCACAAGGAGCAATGACAATTAGTAGGACACCCCTTTTATGAAAGTTTCTCTAGGCTCCATCATTATACCTTGAGAGTTTATATACAAAGTCCAAATGAAAAATGACAAAACTATATAAAACATTATATCTATTATTATTCCACTCACTGCTTCTCTGCTTCCCATTTATTTGTTGTCCTCTATAATAAACATGAGACAAATATTACTTGGTAAAATAAGGAAAATCACATGAAATATATATCTTTTTCTTTGGTAGAAAATAATCATTGGTTGAAAAGCAGCTGTTGTGGAGATACATTTCGTCCCATCAAGCCCTAGCTGATTGAACAAAACATTCAGACCATGGTTTGTTTCTGACTTTGTGTCAACTGACCAATTACAGTGAGTTCGATATATTCTCGACCAAAAGAAAAGGAAAAAAACCGTACACACTGTGTTTTTTTATTTTATTTTTATTTTTATTCTTATGGTTAATGCCAACAATTAACGACAAGGAAGAGAAATATTGAGAAAATGTTTGAACAACAACTGGCGACAAGATTTGAAATTGTTTGAACACTCTGTAATCATCATTATTTTGTTGAGAAAAATTATTGGTACAAATGGATAATGATGAAATATTATGTGGATCCCACATGAGAATAGTTTGTTTATGTATTGTCACATTGGTTACTAGATTTATTTATTAATACTGCTTAGAGAACATTATTCATTGTAAAAAACTACTTATCAATCAATTGAAGATTTTAGTTTAAGAAGCATAAATTATTTCCAGTGCTTAATGCTATCAAGCAAATTAATAATGGCTTTAAGACATGGATTGGCTTGTATAGCAGATGGACCTAGCTAAAGTAACAAACATTTTATCAAAATTTAAGTTATGCTTAAATAAAGAAAAATTACTTTTTTCATCTTGGTAATTCAATACTAGATTGCCTAAATAATATGGTCATTCCTTTTAGTTTCAAATATAACAATAACATTTCTTTTGGTTTAGGTTTGAGTAACATTGACATCACTTTCAAAAATATGACTAAGGATGGCAATGGAGCAGGTTTGGCCAAATTCTACTTCGCCTCGTTAGAAAATCTATCGTACCAACTCTATCCTTTCTCCAGAACGGGTTTGTAATTGTAATTGTTATACCATCTCCGCCTCTACTCTGGTAGACAAAGTACCCCGATTCAGCCCCATGTACTTCGTTTAATTGCAAGGCGTGGCAAGGGCCGGCTGCGTTATGCCACTTTTATTATGTAATAAAAAAAAAAACTAGTCCAATGTGCTCAAATTAGGCTGATAAATAAGTTGTTTCAACTTTAAAATTACAAAGTAGTGAATATTAATATATTAACGGATACAAGATACTTCCAGCAAAGTAATAAAAGTCTTAAAAATATAAAATTATATATATAAAAAATTAGAAGGTATATACAAAATCGAGGCGGGGTACAGGGCGGGTTCATTGCTAAATTCGCTCTCGCCCCAAATCCGTTCGGGTTTTCAATTATTTTACCATACCCATCTCAAATCCATTTAGGAGTCACTAAATCCACCCCATTAGGGGTAGGGGCGGGGCAGGGCGGGGCGGAAACTCGCCGGGTCAGAGAAAACTGTCATCCATAAATCTGACACTCTTGTTTGCTGATATCATATTCAAAATTTACTTAAAACCCGAGAATACCCTTAGAAGGCTTGAAAATGTTATTAACTAATAAAAATACAATGAGTATAATAGTTATTTAACACATTCAGGTCAAAGTCAATGTTATTTTTGTAACCATAGAGGAGGTCTCCATAATTTAGACAATCTGGAGGGGAGTTAAGTGTAAATATCCCTTAAATATAAAGAAAAGTTACTTGACATAATTACCAAAAAGAAGAAAAGTTACTTGAGAAATTTTTATTTTTTTGTTCTGTTTTTCCAATTTTGAAAATTACATTGAATTGTTTTCATATGATGGATTGAAATAGTAGGATTAGTTGGAGATTTTTTTCTTCTTAAAATTGACCAAAAACAAATCAAATTAAATCACTCACGGTCTAAATTAGTAGCTATCTATTTCTCATGGTAGTTTAGTTTAGACCACCGATCCTAATCTTGAATTGTGGTGTAGAGTAGCCAACCTCAATCATATTTTACTCCTACAATTTATTTAATTATTTTCCCCTTTGTTCTTTCAAAATTGAAGCAAACACCCACACACATTTAATATTGTTTATAATAGGACTCGAACATTCAATCTTCTCTTTGAAGATGAGAGATCGTATCATCTAAACTAATGTCTGTTGGTGAGCCTTACAATACCTGGTGCCGGAAAAGATTCTTGAATTTAACAGAAAATGGCAAAAAGTCTTAAATTTTTCACAGAATAGGAGACAACAGTGAACCCCTGACCTAGTTTGATCTCTGGTTGTCTCAAGGCGCTCTGAGTGACACAGATTCAATCCCGATGTTGCTCTTAAACGTGGAATAGACTTACATTCCACAGTGACCATCAATGGAGATTTCCTCCAAGTCTTGTCCTTGTTGTTCCAGAACTCGATCAATCTATCTCGGCCTAGCCAGTCCCAAGACAATGTGTGCTGTCTAGCTTCCTTCCCATACCCTCCACTTTTCTTTTGCTCTCTCACCTTTCATTTCCTTGACATCCCCCTCCTATTTCACTCATTTGGACATATCTTGTTTGGTTTAGCAGTAATCTATTTCCCAAACACAGTTTTATTCTTTGGATCAACATACCATATCCTTTAAACACATTCCCTATTGCTGCTTCTTTGGACATCTTCATCCTTTGTGAACAAAATTGCCTAGCAGCTCCTGATTACAACATTTGGAGGGAGATAAATAGTAGAGCATTCAGAATTAAGTGCTACTTATAAACTATGTAGTTAAGGATATATGCAACTATGCAAGTGATCAGATGTAGAATTCTTTGTTTTTTTGAAAGGTAAAGATGTATTTTATTCTATTTGAAACTAACATATCCACATTGCAGCTATAGGGACTTGAACCTAGCTTTGACCGTAAAGTACTATTAGGTTACAGTATTTGGTGATTAGATGTAAACTATTATCCATGAAGTTGAGGGCGGATTAGATAGCTCTTGCATTTAAAGTAGTTGAGTTTCTTCTTTCTTCTTGTGCCTCCAATTTAGTTTAGCTTGATTCAACTTTGAGTTGTTTTAGGGCTTCTTTTTTGAGCGCTTTAATATATTTCTTTTACCACTAAGAGCTATAGTTAAGTCATAAGTGGTACTTTCTCGCCTTACACACCTTCCAAAATAGAATGACGAGGGTTCAAGTTTTGTTAGAGAAAGTGTGAGGGGATTTGAGTTTCTTGCCATCATTTGGTTATTAAGAGAAGGAGATGTTCCAAATCAAGGGAGAGATGCTTCCGGGCTATTGGCCCAGGTGATATGAGCTCACCAAGCTTACATTGATTTTTTTTTTTTGAAAGGTAAAGGTATAGATGTAGATTTTTTATTCTATTTGCAACAAACATATTCACATTACAGCTATAGGTACTTGAACCTTTGACCGTAAAATACCACTAGGTTACAGTATTTGGTGATTAGGATTCCGTTTATTTGGATGTAAAATATTTTATAGACAATTTTAGTCCAACCAAAAAAATAAAAATAAATAAGTATTACTAGTATTAATCTACCCAAAAAAATATTAGTTCACCCTATTGACAATTCCTGAATCCTCCTTTAATGTGGTGATACGAGCTCACTTCAAAATAATAACAATAATAATAAAACCCCCCCTCCGTCCCCCCCCCCCCCCCCCAAAAAAAAAGAAAAAAAGAAAAGAAAAGGGTTTAAGAAAGAGACAACATTAGGAGAACTAGCATGCCCTTGTCAACATAATATTAATAATATTTCTAAGGCTAGGGTTTATCTTGACTGCCCCAGCCTCAAATTAGAAATGTCATATTGTATATATATAGATGCACAAAGGACATGAGAATTCGATTGTCACTCTCAGCAAATTATACATATATAAATAAATAAATATATATATATATATACATGAAGCTAGCCAGACACATATAAACTTCAATTAAATGTGTATCATCGGACATGATACAAATGGTTGTAGGGCAACAGACCTAGCCCTCTTAGCAAACCAATAAAAACTAAAGGCAACGTCCCTCTCATTCCCCACTTAACTCTCAAAACTAACCAAATGATGATACTACTACTACTACCATCCACCACCTGCCCAACCCCTCTCAACTCCACCCTTTTTAAAGTCACGAGTGATGAGTCCCCACCGTCCCCCTTGTTCTTTCAATTCTAGAGAGAGAAAGAGATAGAGAGAGAACAGATGTCTCCAGTGGGGCTAGCAGAGAAACTGATAGAGAACTTTCAAGCTCCTTTCTTCACCATCACTCCACTAGCCCTCCACCTTGCAGTCCCAAACTGAAGTCTTATAATTTTCCCAAGCTTTACTTCTCTTTCCATCTCACATATATATTTTTCAATCCCTCAAATATATTTTCTGTCTCTCTCTGTTGGTACCATGTAGGTCTCACCCCCACAACCTTCTTTATTTATTATCCTCCTCACTATCTATAATGTCTCAAGTACTCTTAAAACCCTCCATTAACTCTCTCTCTCTCTTTTGTGACTTGTTTGCAGGAGACCAGAAAGAAACCCTTTAGACCTCAACAACTTACCTGAGGATTGCACTAGAGATGGCAAACAGGTCCTTGAGGACACCTCTTCATCTGTCGGTATATATTCTTCTCAAAACTACTATTAATCTCTCTCTCTCTCTCTCTCTCTCTCTCTCACACACACACACACAAACTCAAACACAAACCAATTTTTCTTGCTTTCAGAAAAGAAAAATGGAAACCCCTTTTGGTTTCTCTATTCAAACTCTTTTTTGAAAAGTATGGGTTTTTTGTTATTATTATTTATATATATATTTTGAAGATTTAAATAAAAAAAGCCCATGTAAGGTAAGAGGGTTTTGGGGGTGAGAAATTAAGAAGATTTTTGTGGGGTTGAATATTTAATTATAAATAATTATGTCATGAATTAGGGTGGGCTGTTTGGAGTAGGAGTAGTCTCATCAAAGATGCTTTAATTGGTATATATTTCCCAGGCTACAGGAAAAAGAAAAGCGGCGCTAGGGATGGAAAAGATGAGTGTGGGAAGGTCTATGAGTGTAGGTTTTGTACCCTCAAGTTCTGCAAGTCTCAAGCCCTTGGGGGACACATGAACCGCCATCGCCAAGGTAAGTCCTTTAATTAATTTCCCCCATAAAAAATATATATATATACATAAAATAGTCTATATATATATATATAGGTCTATAGATCGAACAAACATCAAAGTTAGTTGTATTATATTGAATGAACTTACAGTGTCTGTTAATGATTTGCCATGAAGCCTAGCGTGGTCATGTCAATCTCTTTATTATTTTTCACCCAAAAAGAAACATAATTTTCAGTTCTTGATTTGATTTGATTTGATCAGTGCTATATACATATATATATTTTTGTGTTGATATGGTCAGAGAGAGAGACTGAAACATTAAACCGGGCTCGTCAGCTGGTCTTCAGCAAAGATAACATTGTTGCTCAAGGGCCTCATCAACTAGGGTATGTGTTTGTCATCATATTCTCTCTTCTTCTTCTTCTCTTTTAAGGCCTTTTTAGACCCAAAAAATAATATGATCAAATGATCACCCAAGATATCATTTTCGAATAAAGTAGATACTCCACTTGATTTCACCAAATTAGCTTTGATTTGATAAGGTCTACTTTTTGTGTATGAGTACTACTTTTGAAGCCTTTTGATTTCATTGTTGTTTGAGAATTAAAAGAATGTGTTTTCCGTGTGTTATTGTTGTTTGATAAATTAATTGCTTGAGAATTTCAACAGTGGACAACCAGTTGGACATGGAGGATATCATCAAACAGCCAACATGGGTGATCCAACACTCCCTTTCAGATCAGTCTACTCACCAAGATTGTTTTCTGGTTCTTCATCCACCATCTTATCACCACCGCCGCCGCCGCCACCGCCACCACCGCCTCATTCATACATATACACATCCCCTTCGAGGGCCTTCTCCTACCCTCCTCCTCCTCCTCCACATCCAATGACTGATTACTTCCTCGGCCACGCCCTCTCCGGCCACCCTAACCCTAACTTTGTGGGTGCACCCCAGGATACTAATTACACTTGCATTGGTGCTCCAGTGGGACATACTTTTGCATCCGGTGGTGGGCGAGGAGGGTCATCGGATATGGGCTTATCCGGAGGAGGTGGTGGTGGTGGTAGAGACATGTCACTGCACATTAATCAGGAGGAAGGATTGAATTGGGGAAGGAGCTACACAGGGACACAGCAACATTTGGATCCCACATCGATCAATCGGTTTCAAGATGGGTTCTAAAAATATTTTGAGTTTAGGTGCAAGTTATAGTCTGCTATGACATGGCACTGTCATAGAAAGAGAGAGAGAGAGAGAGATCCAAACAAGTATGCTGACAAATAGAGATGTTTGGTTTTTCTACAGGTTTGGGGACAACTTTTGAGAAGAGGTACAAGGGGGGGTTATTAGCTACTAGTTTGGCCTGGAGTTGGGAGAATGGATGGGGTATTTGTATTGGTGTTTACTACACAAGTAGAAGTAGAAGTAGTGTGTGTGTGTGAGAGAGAAAAAGAAACTAGATATGGGGTGGGGATGGGTGCAGGTGGGACTGGAAGTTAGATATGAACTGAAAGTCCCCAACCCCCCTTTTAATATTTGCTGTTGTTGGACTAATTAGTTTTGCATGGGTGGGATGGGATGGGATGCTTTTTTTTTTTTTTTTTATTTTATTTTTTTACTTTTACTTTTGCATTTATGGTATATCTTTTCTGTATTTTTGTGCCTTTTACAACTCTGACCACTTGGGGGAAAAAGGACAATACCTCTGTGTGTAATTGTGTCCCCTTCTTGAAACTTTTATATCATCACACCATGTGTGTATATGTGTGTGTGTTTGTGTTCTTCTTGAAATTCCATTAAACTCTTTTACTTCAAAAGTTCCCTATATAAAAAATAACCAAAGTTCATTTTTTTATAAGGGATTCGTCAAGCAAACAAAAGGCCTTTAGGTTAATAATATAATTTCTCTATATTCAAAGAGGAGGAAAGAGATTCTAATTGAATCGAATAAAAGTGTTTGTTTTGTAAGAGCTTAATTTTAAACTCTTTCTTGAAAGCCTAAGTTGGGCCAGTTAACCTTCCTATCATGGTTTGTAGTCGCGATATTAGTTACGGTATAACGAATTCGGACAAATATCAGTATAAACCGATCGAATCGAGTAAGTAATGCTATCGAACTCTTAAAAAAATATTACGAAGTGAGTGATGGATGCGACAAACCAAGCAATTTATAGACTTACAGTCATATTTTCATAATTATTTGGAAGAAAGTAAAAAAAAAAAGAGGGCAAAAAAAGTCCTAAGCGAGGCTCCATCTAATGCCATAAAAAACAAGGGTAAAAGCAAAGTATACAACAGCAAGGGCCCCAGAACCCCAGTGCAGCGGCAGAAACTTATTAGACAACGTGACATTCATGAAATCTATTAATCAATTAAAAGTACTAACCTTTCAAACAAAATTTTCTTTTTCCAATATCTAAAATAAAGTATAATTTCAAATACATATAAATATGAACATGTACGGAGGAGCTAAAACGTACTACGTAACAAGTAACTCTCACTGGTCTGTTTGTAATAATATATTGGATCTGCGAATGTATATGCATTCATTATTAACTCCCACATTTATACAATTATTTGACTATTCAAAATACATCCCTATGTCACACCAGTTATGTGTACAAAAATTCTCTAAACTATTAATTTGGTACAAATAAGCCCGTAGTTTTTTTTTGTCAGATTTTTTTTGAAGCTTTTCTGGTTTGGGTCGTTAATGCTCAGAGGTTGCTACCTTAGCGCCGATCGAATTGATGTAGTTCTTCTTCGGAATAAATAGCTGCAACTGCTTTCTTCGCCGGAGTCTTTGCTGGAACAACTTGCCTCCCGGAGCTGGATTTCTCTTTCTTGCTCTAGCTCGGTTATGGGTCGCCGTGGCTTTCACCAAAACTGAACTCAATGCTCACTGTTCCGATCAAGCTTTTGGAACTCTCTGGTTTTTTATTACTGTTCTGGAACTCGCCGGTATTAGGCCGCAGCTGGGTCTCGCCGAAACTTTTCTTCGGTGGGTCGCTTTTCTGAATTTATGCTCTGGCCGGTTAAAATAAAGTTTTCAGATAACAGGCGGGACATACATCCACCCGAACTTGGTCTTCTATGTTTGGCTTCACCGATATAGACTACGAGTAGCCGGACCTCCACGCACGAGAGCGTAAGCTATTTTTTTTTTTTTAATTATACGAGTAAAGTGCATAAAATACCTCTTATATTATTAGATTAGTAACATATATACCCGTTTAAGGACAAAACGAGTATTAAACTGCTAAATTATTTCATACTTCTGAGGGGCATTTCTAATTGAGATGTGTTTTTTTCGCACAACGTGAAAATGATGAGGGCATTTTTACACACTTTTTGAAATATAGAGTAAAAATATTACGCGAGAGTATATATTAAAAGTGTTTTTTGCAATTGCCCTGTATGTTAGTGATTTCACTATCACGGTCTTTAGTTTTGAAAGACTCCTCATAAACCTCATTTTTAAAGGTCGTAAGAAGAATGCAAAAGTGAACTTGTTTATCACGGGGAAAAGTCTATAATTGAAGATATTTCTATACCGACATACTCTCCGGCCACTTCTCCTGAACTTTGGATCGTTGTTATTGTGACAATACCGACAATTGTAGCTATCATAATAATAATTAACCCGTGGAGCATAATTACCACCTTATTCTCAAGGAAGATAAACAAAAAAAGGGCGAGGGGAACATCCCAAGATAAGTTGCACCATAGGGGAGAAAGTCTACAAATATCCTGAACAACAAAATTAGTATTTTATAAAGTATGTATTGAAATATATCATTTTAGATATCATTTCATGGTCGATTATGGTTCCAATGCATAAACTTAGTCGGAGGTTGCTAAGCTACAGGCTCTAAAAACATATATGTCACTTATTGACGGATTTAGAAAATTATATAAGAAGGGACGAATTTGAACAACATAAATATATAATGGGTGTCATAAAAAATTGAATGGAGACATGTTTAAGATTTTAAAAAAAAACTATAAATAATTTGTGAATAAAAACATCAGTGGGGCGGCAACCTCCACTGGTCCCTCTACTGGTCCCTTAATAGGTCCTTTAGTTAACTTGTCCGGGATTTCACAATTATTTTTCCAGTTAGTTTTTTTCTTTTTTATCTTGAAGTTAAAAAATAAAAGTATACTAATGAGTAATTTTCCCCCAATCAGTTTTGATAATTAATTCACTGATATTGGCTTTAATAGGGACAAATAATTGGACTCCACCGTTAATATACAGTAGTGGTAAAGAAGGAGATGTTCAATGAACATTTTTGAAATAGAAACAAATTTATAAAATTCAAAAAACATTATGCTCACGTACATTTACATTTATACCACTTACCATTTTAGAGAAGGTTAATTTGTTACGGTAAAATCTTTCATTTGATTGCCCATCACATCACATTATAGCACTTAGAATAATGATTTGTAGGCTCTGAAATGGAACTCTCAAGTATTGGGTGACCACGGGCGAGTTTGGGCGGGTATATTTTCTTTTGTCCTTGCAATGTTTAAAAATTTTATCCTGTTCTCGCCCAAAATCACAAAAATGAAAGAACTTTTCATCTTATTCCCGTAACCATTGAACATTTTTACCCTCGCGAGTACCCGACCAGTCACATTTAAGATCATAATTTAATTATTGTTGAAATTGATTTGCTATTCTTTTTTTTTTCCCCTCATCTTCAATTATTCACCATTGCAACTTTTCTTTTAATAAAATTCATTTGTTATTTTTAATATTATTATATAGGATACTTAATATATAGTGAAAAATATATATACTAATGAAATAAGGATACTTAAGTAATATGTCTACCTAAACGGGGTGGGGCGGTGTCCTTGCCCTCGCACCAAATCCGTACGAGTTTTTATTGTATCAAACCATTCCCGCCCAAATAAACAAAAAGGTCACCCAAAATCGTCAAAAACGAGACGGGGTGGGGCGGGTAATCGCAGGGACGGGTCAAATTGCCATCCCTACTCAAGTATTAGGATCCGTTGTAATACAATATGATGTTACACGATGAGCGATTCGATGCAGTACAATACATTCTTGCTTCACTTCGATGCAAACCATTATATTGGATTCGTTTCTTAAACGAAAAACTTATCATTTCTCTTAGATACAGAACATTTTTCCATTAAATTGAAATGGAAATTGAATAAGACAACCCATAGTTTATTTAATTAAGGCCTTTTTTTATCTAATTTTTTATTTTAAATGTTTTAATTAAGGCTTCAGAAACCTAGAGGCGCGAATTAATTAAACCGGCCTAAAAGAACAAAATTGCCACATTAAGAAAACTGTCAGAGTGTAGCGACACTAACAGACCAACATCGTTTTTCACCAAAAGCTGCATTTGAGTTACACACAACACCACTACTCTAATGAACTTTAAAGCACGCGCAGAATTCAAGAGCTTGAATTTACGTGTAATATTGTTGTTTTTTAACCAGTGATTGCACCTCTGATTGGCATATTTCAAACACTAGGAGCTAACCCTAGCCACCTTTAACTACATAGGTTAAGCTGGACTAGTACTGCAACTGCCCACCACTTACTAGCGGCTCTGGTTTCACTGTTTCAGTGTGTCAATTACATCTATAACCTATACAACTACTCATAAAGATGAGCAAAAGCAAAAAAAAAAAAAAAAACTACTCATAAAGATGGAACCACAAAATATTTTGAAGACCAAAAGGTTATAACAATGGAACCTGCTCTAAGTAAGCTTGCGCGGCTCATAATTATTGGATCGACAGTGAGGGTCCAAATTCAGAGACTGTTCTCAAACGGTGTAGCAAATGTATGTTGTGTAAAAATTTTCAACGTATTTAAATATATTTTCAACACATTAATACTAGACTTAACAAAAATTCTGTGTTAGAAACATGTTTTATCTGTGTTATATAAAATCTCTCTTCAATATAGTTATTTTTAGTTTAGACACACTTAAATCGTGTTTAAACATATTTGTATTATGTGTAGAAATTGCATTAAAAAATGAAATAAATGTGTTAAAATGAATTTAAATGCATTGAAAAAGCACTATAGCGCTCTTTATTAAAGGAAAAACTAACTAAATAAATTCGTGCTCTTTATAAACAAACTACCCTTTTGTGAGGATAAAATTAAATGAAATTGGGTGAAGATTCCACTCTCACTAAACCTATTTTAGTACTCCCTCTGTCTCAAAAAAAATATCATA